CACATGGCTGGCACGGGGTGACCCTGTCAATGAAATCTGGGAGGATTGCCAGGATTGGTGGCACGAGGTATGGCGATGAAAAACATGAGAAGTTCTAATCTAAACCATCCATTTAAGCGAGCATGAAAATGCATGGCTAGTACTTTGTGCACAAGAATCAGCATTGAAGTTGGTGGTGCTGTCTGCTCCAGCCATTGTTGACACGATGTTGAAATGTCAGGTTCTGATGATAGTGCACTCAATGTAACCAAATCTGCCATGGACTAGTGTTGTCTGTCCAATAGGAACGGACTGAGCTTGCGGACGGTCCTCTGATTTAGTTGATGAGCTTGCATTGGAAGCTCGATGCACACCTGGAAGGCAAGATGACAATTTCCGGATACAAGCACATATATTGTCAATGGTTGATCAATGTTAATATCTGTCATCCTGGAACTGGAATGGCTATTCTTCACGGAAAAATACAGTATATCTTTTGCAGATTTTCGTGGCCTCATCGCGAAGCATGATCCTACAACCATGTCTAGCTAACATGAGCCGGAACATGTCCTAATATGACAATATAGGGGCAAACATCTTGCAGCATGACCCCAGTATTGACTCAGTAGAACGTTTCCACAGCTACTCAGGGTCACTTTTCCACAGCTACTCCACCCAATGTTGGCGGGCCACCTCAAGCTGGGAACCTGGACTTTTAGCGGCACATTCACGAAAAACTTTGGCAGATCTTTCGTTATAACATTTGCAAACATCTGCACAGCCTGTCAGAGCAGCTGCAGGTCGTTGCCTCACTGTCAGGGCTGTGCCTACTCAGGTTGTGAGTCTGTGACAGTGGGGACAGGAATCGGAGAATCCTTTGTGCGCTGCCAGGGCTGGGAACGGGAAATATTGAGGCTTCAGTTTGTTAGTCTGTGAGTCTGTGACATGTGGGGACACTTCCGCCCACCGGCTCTGCCGGAGGGTTGCCTTGTATTTCTATTCTCGTCAGTCCGGTCCGGTAGAAAGGAAAACATATGAAAGCGATGACCTGCGATGAATCTTTCGCGGAATAACGATACCAACATGACCCGGCCCAATTAAACCCTAAAATGCAATTTTTGGATACGACCTTTCTTATTATGTCTAAAGCAGTGTCTAAAGCTTCAAAAACATGTTAATAAGGTCGCATCCAAAAATCGGACTCTTATTTTATTATCAACTATCGCATGATACCACTATATCATGTGCCATATTATGCGTCCAAGTTGGTCTAAGTGTGACAGCAAACCTTAAAAACATGATTGAATGCGTTCAATAATAATCTCATGCTTAAATTTTGCCCACGTGTGAATTCTGGTGCGGATGCGTTTTCTCCTGTCGCACGAACAAGGTAGTGAGGCATGGTACTGAAGACCATGGGAGATCCCATCATTGCGCTGCACCCCGAATCACTGGCCCCTGGTGGCTCCTTCAAAATATTTGCCACCCCAGTGAAACGGTGTGGGAGCTGCACCCCTCTCGATCAAGGCAATCATGATGTCCTCACCTCTGCAAGAAATCCAGTCACGGACTTGCTCGTACCAGTCCAAACGCTTCTGTAGGGTTGACATTTTTGTCTTCAAATCAGATCGCTCCTCTGAGAGATCCGTCTTTGATGCAATCGACTGAAGCTCCTGATTCTTGACACGAAGCCGGGCCACTTCTGCTCGAAGGCTCTCAACCTCCAGCGCCATCACCTCAAGGTCATGGTTCCGGGCCAATAGGCAGGATTGCTCCGACTGAAGCCTCTCAACTTCCTTTTCAAGATTGATCTGGGGAGGGTGTCTGGCCTTGATTTCCGAAAGTTCCATCTCGAATTTCTCAGCCTCGTCTGCGATCAACTCAAGCTCTTGGTTCTTGCCTCGAAGCCAAGAGTTGGCAGAAGACAA